TATTTTACATTCAGTTAAAATGCTGGCTTCAGGTACCACCACCACTGTGCTGCTCTTTAGCTCATGTTACTCTATAAGGCATGGAGAAATACTAAACGGACTGTCCAGTGTGGTTACATTTTATACAGTGCAAATGGCTCCACTTAGTAGCATATAATTACATGGCAACACTTGACAAATGTGCTTCAGCACATTTGAATAGGCAATGTCCACAACTTTAAACATACATTGTTGCTTCATTTCCTATCAATGGATCTTACAAATGTGGGTCTTTTTTATTGTGTCTTATTGTGCTAGGTTGCCTTTACATTAACTTTATTCAATAATGATGTATCTACTGACAAATAAGGCGCGTTCATATTGTAGTGCATGTTTTTTTTTTTTATATTTGATGCTCGTATAATGTAACTAATCGTTCCTATTGTATCCACTGCAGCTCCAGCTTTATTATTCAGTACATTAGGCATAATTTGATTATTTATGCCACCCTGAGAATTAAAGTGTTTTTTTCTCCTTTCCTTCTTTCCTCAGGTGGTGTTAGTTTTTGCACTCAGCATCGGAGCCCTTGGAATATACTTTATAGACTCCTCAGAGTAAGTATCAATGTGACATATAAGCTGACATCAAAGCTGAAGTTGGGTAATTAGTAGCTGTAATAACATTTCTATTATTAGACGTTAAAGTACCTTATACTTATACCTTGTATTATTGTTATTGTTATTATTATTATTATTATTATTATGAGATTAGCTTTTATACTTTATTTTGATGATACATGGTATGGTATGGTATATAGTTTATTCATTTAAAAAAAGTACAAAACAATTCCATAACAATATAAAAAAGGATACAAAAGATCTACATACCTATGTGTGTCTAAATGCATGTTTACATTTCATCATTAGCTTTTAAGAAGCGATAGGCACATATTATATGAACTCAAACAAACACAGATCTAAGGATTTGTCAGTGGGAGGCCTATCATTTACCTTGGAAGCAGTGACACTTAGCCTTTGTGTTGTAAAGGCTGCTGTGTGTGTGAGCACAGGACTCAGAATATTGTCAGTTTTTGTGAATTTGTAGCTGGCAGTCACCCAGAGACAGATTGCAGGTCTGGCGATGCTCCCATAGCCATTGCAGCAACTTCTATGCCAGCTTGCCTCTCTTCAGGTAGTTAAAGGAATAGCTGGTATTTTAGGATTCTCTCTGGTCTTTTTTTGAATTAGCAGAGTGTACCACAGTGTTGAGAATAGGGACACTGCAGCACCAAACAGAGTTTTACTCAGCTTAATTCACATAAATGATAGTATGATATAAAAATTACAGTCTTTCTCCAGTTGTTCCCTCTTTAGGGGTCTCCATAGAAAGTAACCCTTCTTTTCACTCTATCCTCACTCCAACTACCTCCATATCCTCTCTAACTGCATCCATATACGTATATCTTCTTTGGCTTTCCTTTTTGTCTATTTCCCATCAGCTGCATTTCTAACATCCTTCTATCCACTGCCCCTCCTCTGGATATGTCCAAACCATCTCAGCCTGGCCTCTCGTAACTTTTATCTCCCAGTTCTTCAAACAGTGCTGTGCCTCTGATTAGATCTGTCATTTCTAACCTGGGCCCGCGCCTTTAGCTGTAATAACATTACAGCTAACAAAATAACAAAATAATGTGTTGGATGGGTGGGTCGGTGTTGGGCTTTTGATTGCATCAATGGACACAAGTGGCTGACGATCAAATTTGGATCACCAGCTGCGCGCGGCCATTTGACCGCGCTGACCGGTTAGTTGAAAGAGGTTTAAAAAAAAAGGTCCAGATCACAGTGCCAGTGACCCACCTGAAGCTTAACTGGACTCAACCACTGCGTCAGCGAACTCACGTGACCGACAGCCCAATTTGGATCATCAGCTATGCGCATCCACTGACTGTTAATAACTATAATAACTATAATATTATAATAACTATAATAATCTGCTGACTCTTGTTAATAAACAAGAAATCTTCATTTCTTTGAAATATGTTTTTAAATCATGTCAAACTGATTTTGCTTACAAAACCAGTAAAAGTTTAATAAAAGAAAAGGGTTTTTTTTGTTGGGGGGTGGGGGTTCGGGCCTGTAATCGCTGTTAATTGGTCAGTTTTGGGCTGGGTTCGGAAAAAATTCTACGGGTTTGGGCCAGGCCGGGTCGGATTTTTTAGGCCCGAATGCAACTCTACCTCTGATTATCTCATTTTGAATCTTCTCCATCCTTGTCACACCTAAGGAGAACCTCAACATCTTCATTTCTGCCACTTCCAGTTCTTTCTCCTGTCTTCTTGTCAATGCCACTGTCACCAGACCATACAACATAGCTGGTCTCACCACTGTCTTGTAAACCTTTCTTTTGATCTTTGCAGACACCCTTTTGCCACAGATCACTCATGAAACATTTCTCTATCCACTCCATCCTGCCTGGACTGTCTTCTTCACCTCTTTACCACACTCCCTGTTTTCATGAACAGTCTACCCCAAGTACACCAAGTCCTGCACCTTTGTGACCTCTGCTCTTTGTAGTTTTACTGTTCTACTGACCTCCCTCTCATGTACATGCATGGACTATGTGTGTTTACTACATTTGACTATTGTTCCTTGTCTTTCAAGTGCATACTTACATCTCTCCAAGTTCTCTTCCACTTGTTCCATGTTCTCACCTCAAATCACGTCATCTGCAAACATTCTAGTCCATGGGGATTCTTGTCTGACCTTATTCATTTCTAGATCAAACAAGAAGGGTCTCAGAGCCGATCCTCGATGCAATCCCACCTTCACCTTGAAGCTATCTGTCACTCCTACACCTCTCGTCACTGTCCTGCTGTCCTCATACATGTCCTGTACCAGTCTAACATACTTCTCTGCCACTCCAGATTTCAGTACCTCACTTCTTCCTTCGGCACACTGTCATATGCTTTTTCTAAATTTACAAAGCCACAATGGCGTTCTTTCTGACCCTCTCTGTACTTCTTCAGCATCCTCAAAGCAAAGATGGCATCTGTGGTTATCCTTCTTGGCACGAGACCATACTGCTGCTTACAAATAGTCACCTTTTGGTCTAAGTCTAGCTTCCTAATGTCTTCAGTCCTCTCACTGCCCCATTTCTTCTTGACTAACCTCTTCGTCAGGATAATTTTCTGCTCTTTACTATTCCACCACCAAGTTTGCTTATTATATTTTCTCTATCCAGATGACAAACCAACTACAGTACCTTTCTACCTGTGTCTTTAATTAATGTTGCTGTAGTAGCCCTTTTCCTGTCAATGCTGTCTATCAGCAAAAAAATATTTTAAACCATTGGTTCCAAACCCTGGTCCTCGAGGAACACCATCCTGCATGTTTTAGTTGTTTCTCTGCTCTAACAAATTAGACTCAGTGGTTTAATTACTTCCTTATGTTTGGAAAAAAGCCTGTTAATCACCCTTTCATTCAACTCAGATGTTGTTTGTTTCCTTAGAGAACTTTACTAATTGGCTTTTCTATGTATTTGAATGTTCCTGTAAAGTGCCCTGAGACAATTTTGTTGTGATACGGTGCTATATAAATAAACTGAATTGAAATATATGAAGGCAACAGACCAAGAAGTGATTTAAAGATGAAAATGTACCAGTGAGAGAGTCTACGGGAAGTTAATGATGACCAGTTAACCAGTAAATACAGTGTACAGTGATGGGTACGATAGTTACAGCTGGTTATGAGTCTTAGCGCACCGTGATAGACTGCATCCAACATCTTGTTGATTGCAGTGTCTCAACATCTTCAATGATTGCAAGCACTCATTTTAGGGACGTTCATGTAAATAACGTCACCGTAGTAAATGGAGGGGAGAAAAGTAGCAGTTACAAGGTGTTTCCTAGCATTCAGAGTTAAACTGGATCTATTTCTGAAAAAGAAACCCAGTTTAACTTTCAGTTTCTTTACCAAATTTTCGACGTGGAGCTTAAAAGAGAGATGCGACTCGACCAAGATGCCCAAATATTTGTAGGAATCGACAAACTCAATAGGAACACCATTTGAAGATAAAATCTAGGGAAGGCCTGCTGGATATTGCACGTAATCTGAACAGCCGAGACGTGAATTATTAGAAATGGTTTCCACAAAAAAAAAAAAAAACAATGCTTTTTTCATTACTTTATTTCTCATATAATTGATTTACCAAATGGAACCTTAAATTTACTGCAGAGCCTGAAGTTATGAAGGGTTTATTGGAAAAGGAACCACAGCATATTGACCACAGGAGACTGGGTGATACTTTGTCATCATATTCATTCCTTTTCAAAGCTGTAAAAGTTATTATTTTGAAGTAAAGGCAAGAATCTGTGACTTGTTTTCACTTTAATTTGGAATCTGTTAACTGTGAAATTATGTGCTTGAGGGAAAGGAGTCTGAAAAACCACAAGATACTGTATAAAATGTTCAAAGAAGTAAATCTAAATAGCAATTCAGCATGTTCAGCCTTATCTCTTAGCACCGATGAAAAAATTATTCCTGGCATAAATTCAGTCACAAATTTATACCCCAGGATAAATAAAATAAAATAAAAAATGTGACTCCCTCCCCCATATCACTGCTTTTCTTTTTGTATTTTCTCATTGCCCCATTTTGCTCTCCTTTTGCCTGTGGCCTTTTTTAATCAAAAAGTTGGAATCAAGGCACAATTTTGCATCTTCTAAAAGTTTTAATCTATTTTTCATAGTCAAGTCATCAGAGATTCAAAATAGCCTATGTGATTCAGTTATTGACCTTGATAATTATCAATAAAAAGATACACTGCTTCAGGATGTCAGCATATCTAGTCATCTGAAAAGCTACTACCAGTAACTACCGCCAAGGTTGAAAACAATTTATGCAGAAATGTTCCATGTCTCACCATTTCCCGTGCAGAGTCAGAAACGTAAAATAGATTAAAGATCTATTTGGTTTGATTGTAGAAGTCCAGTTTCCCCTCTCTATCATTTCTTCTCTGGATATCTTGGTGTATTTCTGTGTGAGTAGACCTCCTGGAGGCATTGCCCAGATCTTTTTGTGCTCCCATTTAGCCAAGGCCCATCATCATTGTGATTAGCTCAGGCTTGTCATTAGCTTGTGCACATTCTCTGGGGGTGTGGGTGTGGGGTGTGTGACCGATCAGCCCACCAGAGCAGGTTCAGACCAACGGTCCAAAGCTTGCCTTGTAGCTTTTTATACCCCACAGTAGTTGAAGTGTTTGATGTGATCAACTCAATTAGCTACATGATGGCTAATTGTTTCCTGTAAAATAAAAAATTATATATATATATATATATATATATATATATAGTATTAGGACTAAATCTGAGTATGGATTTGGTCACTTTTCTGAAGTACAATGTCTGACACCTTTCCACCTGCTGCTCGTGTATTAACAATGCTCTACAGATGACCTTCTCTCCACCCAGCCTCCTCGCTATTAAATGTTAATGACACACAAATCAATAAACACAGATTTATACGTTGCACTTTTAATGGAAGCAATCTCGCTGCTGATCATTGAAGGCGCACACTCCAGAGCCATTCAAGTTCAATGGTTTGCTTTACAACTTTTC